GGGTCACTTTCCCGCATCCACCCAGTCTGTTCCACCCTCCCCCTTCAGAGCCAAGCCCTCACTGCTCTTTTCATGTAAATGAGAGCCCTGTTTTCTCTTGTTATTCCAAAGGAAAAAAGGAAGTGTGTAACTTTTAACACAGACAAACAATGGTTTAAATATCTGTAAAGGGCCCATGTAACGCCCCAGAGAAGTAAAGCAGAATGGGTGCTAAAGTAGTACAAGTATTTAACACCAAGGGGAAATTCATTCAAGTGTCGTACTGACACCTTTAAAGATAGAGGTATTATTAGAAATGTTTTTGTGTACAAACAGAAATTAGTAAAATCCCATTCATTAAATTGATCAAAAGTGACAGTAAAGACATTAATAATGTTACAAAAAAAATGTAATTCATATAAATGCTGCTCGTATGAAATTTCTATTCCTCAGAGAATACTGAAAAAAATGTTTCACAGCACAGCATTGATGATTATATTAAGAAATGTGTCTTGAGCACTAAATCAACATATGAGAACGATTTCTGAAGGATCATGTGACGTTGAAGACTGGAGTAATGGCTACTGAAAATTCAGCTTCGCATAGGAGTAATTTAGATATAATAAATTCACAATATTGCTATTTTTATTGAATTTTGAACTTGGTGAGCATTAGAGACTTCCTTCAAAAACATTAAAAAAAATCTTACTTTTGAAAGCTAATGTACATTTGTAATGTGACATGACCTGTTTGGAGACATTTGAGATGCTCCCATTATTTTTGTTCATTGACAAGTATTTAATGTTTCAATTACGTATATGTTTTATTTTAGAGTATGCTGACTATAACATTTGAAGTTCCTGGCAGTGTGTCAGAAGACCTATTAAATATATTCATTCAGGTACAGATATAGCTTAAGGAAGCATGTAAATAAAATATTTACCTAGAACAACAACTTTACAAAATGTCTTGAAAATTTAACTTTTTTTTTTGTAGAATCTCCTATGGGAGAAGACATTTAAGAACGAAGCAGGCTTGCCAATGGCAGTTATCCGGTTAAAGGTGAGGATACGGTCATCCATATATTCGTTCTCCATACTGTATGTTATGTCAGCCACCGAAATGCCAAATAATTCTAGAAAATCATGACTTCTGTGAAGTTGTATTGCCTTTGTATATCCTGTACAAGCATTCTAATTTTCATCAAATCTGTTCTCTGTGTAAATGCTTGTTGTGTGTTGTGGCAGGGGATCCTCTCCGTCCAGCAGAAACAAAAGAAGGTGATGTTGCATGGTGTCCATGAGCTTTATGAGCTGGATGAGACTCCAGAGTTCTGGGCAGATCAGGAGCCAAGAATCAACCGACTCGTCTTCATAGGTAAGATCAAATATTCCAGATTTTAACGTACAATACCTATATACAACTCTGTCAAATTGCCTGTTAAAAGCTGTAAAAAAATTCATTGTTTTATTACATTAAAAATGTATTTACCATTCACTGTCTTCTTACTTCAGGTCGGAACCTTGATGGCGAGATTCTGAAGAAAGAGTTTATATCAGCCATGTCAAATAAAGACTGCGTGGAGTAGATGATATCTGACTGCACAGTCTACCAGGCCACGTATACAAACCATACAACACCAACAATCTCATCTCATAAGACATTTGTGAAATCACTGGGAAAAAAACGCTGTTTCTGTTTGCAACCCACAGTTTTAAAAGAGTTTGTACCTGGGTTGCAAATCCTGCAACAGCTTAATAGGTGCTTATCATGCTCCATAATGTTTTGAATAGAAAAAGTGTTCAAATCTGACACTTATTTCTCCTAAACATGTAGAACATTGTACTAAAAATATTTTAAGCATCTGTACGCAACATTTCAAACCAGTAAAACTTATATTAACTGAAATGTCTTAATGTAATTTATTTTACATTTCCATTACCGTTTTCTCCAAATATGTATCTTGAAATGCGTTATATTTTGGACACAGTTGAAAAACCAATAGTCTTTATTTTAAGAGTATGTCGTTATTTAAACAATTCATTTGGGTGATCAATTACCAGTGTTGGGGAAAGTTACTTTTAAAAGTAATGCATTACAATATTGCGTTACTCCATAAAAAAGTAACTAATGGCGTTACTTTGTTACTTTTTATGGAAAGTAATGCGTTGCGTTACTTTTTAAATCTGGACAGGGCTTGCTTGTTTGTTTTTAAAATAAAAAAGTTATATTTTTGGCAAATATAAAAGCCTTTCACACCAAAAGTGAAATGAATAAGCCTCAGGCTGAAGGGAAAGTAAATTTATGTCCGTACAGTAGAATGCAGAAGAAGACATTTCAACACACTTCAGCAATAAAAAAAAGCCAAGTGTTTGTCTAGAGTAATTTTGGCTTATTAGTACGATTGAACTGGATCATCGAAGGTCAGAAGCAGATAGAATGGGATTAAATACATAAAGGATATTTGTGTTGTTTAACATTTAATTATTGCAGGTTTGCGTCATATTCTGAGTTGCATTATTTTTATTCATTTTGAGGAATACTGAATCCATGTTTTTTTTTTTGTGAGAGAGATGAATTAATGCATATTCATATTTATTTTAGAACTACAGTAACATCTTCTGATTTCTCTCAACATGGGGACAGGAGAGCTGTCAGTTAATAAACTGGAAAAAAAAAGTAACTTGTGTTACTTATTTGAAAAAGTAACTCCGATATTCTCTTGTAAATTAAAAAGTAATGCGTTACTTTACTAGTTACTTGAAAAAAGTAATCTGATTACGTAACTCGCATTACTTGTAATGCGTTACCCCCAACACTGTCAATTACTAATCATTTTACATAGACTTTTTCACAGTGTAAAATAGCAGTAACCAGTAAAATAAATATAGTCTTGAGTTACTCAGCTTACTCTTCTAAAGTGTTACATTTTGTCTTTTTTCAATGTGAGAACCATTATTACAAGCACCCACTTAACACTTTTTGTGACAAGGCGATACATTGCGAAAATTGGTTGGCAGAGTTTGCATTTTGTTCAGTGTCTCTAGTGGAACATAAATTATGATAACTAAGAGCAAAAGTTATGAAAGTATACAATGTGTACATTCAGTGAAACACAAATTTGGAAGTGTCTTCCAAATGCATAAATGTTCACAAATTGCATTAATGCTTCACTAATGTATGTGGCTATAATATGTGGTAGGCCTATATATTATAACAATAATTTTGCATTTAGTAAGAAAATTAATTTAATTTGAACATTTTTCTTCATATGCATATACAGGTTTTTTTTCCATGCTTTGTGTTATTAGAAACCTAATATTCAGTACAAACACTTTAAGATGAGTTTAGGTCTTTGGATTTCTTTAAACTGACATATGAATGAGTGCTGTAAATAGCTCTGTTAGTTTACACAACTTTCAAGTGCTCTCATAAATTTACATGCATCCACTTCCACACCATCCACAGCTGAGGAAGTGGACGCACCTTTTCATTTGCAAGTGAGATGACTGTGAAGAGTTTAACACATTTCCGCGCACAAGAAGGTTTGCTTTGAGGATTGCTGCGCTCATTCATGCCCTCCAATAAAACTCGCTCCTGGCCTGTAGGCTAAAGCTGCGCCGTTTCCTATTTGATTCTGATGTTGATAGGCTCGTTTACCGGCATTCTTCTTTCAATGCGGGGAGCCGGGCCACGGCCATTTTCATGGTCGCACCACCTGCGGGTATCTTGAGGTGACAAACCAAACGAAACCCAGGGGGTATCGGGGGAAAATCAGTCTTTTAAACCGGTAGTTAGGCGTGGTGTGAAAATTCACCGTCACACGTCCCAGCTCCCACTGCGCTACCCTGCTTCTGAATTGGAGAGGAATCCTAAAGGACCATCTAAAATATAACGACTCTATTTGTATTGCAAGTGAACTACGTGGCTTTTGTAAGAAAATGTTCATTGACGTGACGCTAATTTTTTGTCCGGATCTAAAACACTTTAAATAAACATATTAACCAAGGAATAAATCTGTGATTTATTTATTTTTTAGAGTTGTCTAGGTGGTTCAACTGAGTGATTAAAAAGCTTGAATTAGTTTACCGTTGTATTTTATCGTTATGTAGCCTATTAAAATAAGGATTTAATCTTTTATTTAATATTCATATTTTAACATTTTTTAATTTTTCAAAAATATATATTATATTTATATTTTATTTTAAACATTTTTAAAGTTTTAAAATAAAGTCAGTGAAACCACATGCAGAAAAACATTTTGTCATGTGATCCAAAGCTTAGGTCAATAACCTAAAGAAAACGTCACAAATATAGGCCTATTTTAAAAGACTGCATTAATAATAAAATCTAGGCAATAGCCTATGAGTATAAAAAAAAAATCTATTTTTTACACCTTTTTTTATTTTTTTCTAAATATGCATGAAACTTGCACATGCGTTTAAAAATAGATTTGAAATTTTAAAGTGCATTTTAAAATAAATTGTATCAATTTAATACTGCAATAATAAAGCTAAAAAGACCTTTAATACTGAACGTTATTCAGCATAAAAAAACGTTTTGCATTTTGTTCCTTATTTAACAAACAAAAGACCAACATAAAAATCTTATTGCCAATACGTTTGTCTAAGTCTCAGTATAGCCTGACAAAAGGGGAAAATGTATCTTTCACGTTGGCGTTTAAGCTGGTCCTAAAAAAAGTAATATATATTATTACATTTGATTGATATAGTACACTTTTATTTCGCCATCTCCTTAGTTTTAGATGCTGTAATTGGGTGTTTAGGATCCTCATCTCATATGTGGATTGTTTAGTTTAAGCAGGTCAAAGCCCGCCACACCTGCCTGACTGTCCTGAATCCCTGCGGTGACACTCCACCCCTATTGGTCTGACCATAGGAGGACCAAAGGCAGAATGCGTGTGGCCTCTCATAAATAGCCCTCATTTCCATGAGTCCTGCAAACCGGCCACAAGCTTCACCAGCCGCAAGTCGCGTCCAGCACATTTGGGGTCTTCAACCATGACCCTTTCCCAGGATTACGAAGAAGTGCAGCGCACCCCCGTCTCTTCTGAAGACGATGAAATAGACATCGTCGGAGGAGACCACAGCGATAGCGACCGAGAGTATTTCATCATGCCTTGCAGGGACCCCGCGGAGGCGGATCACTCGGGGTCCGAGTCTTCAGGAGAGAGCGAGAGCAGCTTCTCCGCCGCGACCGCTCCAAAGCAGACCTCCGCCGTCAAACCTCCCTATTCCTACATCGCCCTCATAACCATGGCGATCCTCCAGAGCCCGATGAAGAAGCTGACCCTCAGCGGCATCTGCGACTTCATCAGCAACAAGTTCCCGTACTACAAGGAGAAATTCCCCGCGTGGCAGAACTCCATCAGGCACAACTTGTCACTCAACGACTGCTTCATCAAGATCCCACGAGAGCCTGGAAACCCGGGGAAAGGCAACTACTGGTCCCTGGACCCTGCATCTGAGGACATGTTTGACAACGGCAGCTTTCTGCGCAGAAGGAAAAGATTTAAGAGGAACCAACCCGAGTTCACCAAAGACAACCTGGTGCTTTACCACCCAACGTTAAGTTATCGAGCATATGGGCGACCTTACTGCGTCTCTGGGCCGGTTCCAGGCCAGGCTAATCCTGTTGGATATTTGCCAGTGCCGGATGGCATCATGGTGCCACCTCCATATTTCCAATATCAGACTCTCAACATTAAGGTCCACGAAGCTCCAGAAATCCAGCAAAGGCCTGAGCACAAGACCCAGAAGTGTTCGTTCAGCATTGACAGCATTATGGCCAAGTCAACGGAGTCTCCTCACAAAAACTCTCCTCATCATCTCACACCTGACTACAGTTATGTATTTCCCAGGCCGACATCATGTGTGACTCCAAGTTTGTTACCAGTGCCAGCAAGGACTCCTCTGCTAAAGACTGTTCCTTTCACAGAAACTCTGCGGATGGTGTATCCGCACTGTTGAACTGTGTCTGGAAAACTCACCAATTCATTTGAAATAGACTTGTAACATAAGATGTGTCTGTCATTGCTCTTATATGATCATTTTAATGTAAATAAATAAATGGTAAAATAAATGGTAATATATTTGCTAGTCTAAAATCCTGGAAAGTTGGATGTATTAAAATGCCTGTTTGTATTAAATAAACCATCATCGTCAAATCTCAATTAGCCTACGTGTTATTCGTGTTCATTTTAGCAATTATGATATCGTGATTTTTTTTCCATAAAGCCCTAATAGTAGGCTATCTAAACGAAATAGTGCGTTTTGCTCATTCATTTGTCGAAAAGAAAAAGACTGGTTATTTTAAGATCGCTTTAATTTTACGTTGGAATGTTGAGCAATGTAGCCTATATTTAATAAAAATAAACTTTAAAATAGGCTACTTGTATAAAAAGAGGTGGGGGGACTTTAAACTTTTAATTGACTTTAAATAGTATTCTTGCCCTCTCACTAAAAAGTTTTAAAGTTAAAGCTCTTTACACAATGTTAAAAGACTGCATATGAATGCGCGTTAGATACAACATTTCAAAACTAGAATGCTGGTAAAAGCGTTGCATGCATAGTCTACAGATTCTCCATCACTGCCTGCAAGACATTTTCTATTCTTTTATGTCCACTAGATGGAGACTGAAGCTCGTGAAATCAGTCGCACTCGATGCATTACGCATGTGCTTGCTTGGTTAATTTGACTGATTTACTTGACTTCACTTTATAGTGTTATAAGTCAAATAATGCATCTACAGCGAAAACAAATATGGTTTAGTTGTTACGCTTTTCACTCCATATATTTTTTAGGATAGGTTATTTTTTGAAAGTCAATTTGGATAGGCTACATGCCTTTAAACAATTACTGAAACAACAATAATGTAAAAAGTAACACGTAGCTTATCAAACCATTGGCCATCAAAACGATATAGACTACTTAAAAAAAAAAATTTAAAAAAAACGCTTGTAACCTTGCCTCGACCTGACATTTATGAAAAATGTCTTTGTCCTTAGAAGACAGTTCAACCTTTCAGTTAAAATCTATCTAATTACATAGCTGACTGTTGTTTGAATTGATATCAGTGTGGTTTTATTGTGTTCACTTGTTTACTCAAGAGCTTACAAAATATGATACCGAATTTAGTTTAAATAACAGAATTCACAAAATCATTGTAATTTCAAAGGGTTTTGAATTATAAGATTGAAACCAACACAAATCCACTGCTACAGAACACGTGTTTAACTTGACTTTTGTATAATTGACACACATTTGTTTAACTGACTCGAACCCATAGTTACTGTTGTGCCAACCAGCCTCGGTCTCCCTTTTCTGTTTCGGCATTGGACATTTGATCAGTTTGTTATTTATCTCATTCCTTCTTGTCTTGTTTAATGTTGCTTAATCTTATGGATGTTATGACATTTCTGTTTGTGCGCCACGGACAGTAGAGGCGTTCGATTACACAGCAGCACACCGTCACTATTCGCTCCCCCACATCATGGGCTATTTTTGGCCAGTGCGTTAGCTCATTATATAGAGTTTTCTCCCCTCCCTGCCTTTTGGCAAGCAAACGTACGCGTGACAGCTCGGGAGAAGAGTGTCGGTGAGCGTAAGACCTCATCTTGGAATATTTCTTTGCGTTTTACACCCATTTATTCTGTATTTTGTGCCGCTACTTCACAGTTTGTCCCGGTGCGATGAGAAGACAGCTGTCGCACACTAGTTTTCCAAAGAAGCGTCACGGGACGCGTCTCAAATACTCCACTTGGACTGAAGAGCACTGCGAGGTGGCGCACCCTGCTCGCTGCCTCCGTGAACTTCCTCTGTTGCTTTTGACGATATTTTGAACACTGCATCTCACCTCATTCAGCTATCAACAAACAATTTTTTTTAACATACCGAAGCGTTCCAGAAAATCATGGAAACTAACCCTATACCCATTTTGACTATCCAAACTACCCCATTCGATGACCAGAGACCAGGGACGAATGGGCTGCGAAAGAAGACAGCGGTTTTCGAAAGTAAAAAGAACTATCTGCAAAATTATATCCAAAGTTTGCTGTCCTCTATCGACTTGAGGGACCGTCAGGGATGCACTATGGTGGTGGGCAGCGATGGAAGATACTTCAGCCGGGCTGCAACTGAAGTCATCGTTCAAATGGCAGCTGCCAACGGGGTAAGGTGTACTTCAAAAACACAACACTCAGGCATGCCCTTCTAGTTCACTAATTTATTAAGTATTCAATTAGCATTTTCTGATACATTTATTAGGTTTTCTGATCTAACTCATTAAAATATAACATACCTGTTAGATTAATTAAGGTCTTTAAATGTATTATCTATTTATTTACTTACGTACTTACTAATAAATGTTATACATTTTCTTATCTGTATAACAAACAAAAATTCACTATTTATTTATTTATTTATAATTTCCTATGAAGTATGATAGATTTTCTGGTCAATCAAAAATGCATTATTTATTATTTATTTATTTGTTTGTTTATTTATAATTTCCTAAAAAAAATTGCTAGAGTTTGTGATCTATGTAATAAAACTTTTTTTTTTTTTTTTACCTACCTACCTATTGGTGTATTCAGTCTTGCTATTTTTATTAATCTATTTTATTATTTTCATTATTATTATTATTTCACCTGTCTTTGAAAAACACAAGATTTTTTTAGCATGATTTGTCGTGTATCTGGTCGACATGGGTAGTTTCATGATTTAAAATAACATTACATGGATTTATAGTGTATATGGTCATATCTGTTTTTATTCAAGAGTATCTGGATTTTGATATCCCAAACGGCCGAGAATTTTGTTGGAAAACCTGAGAAGCCACAAACTGTGCATGTAATGAGAGAAAGTTTTAGAGCTAAATCTCTGTGCTGGCCTGGCCAAATGTATCCTGTCTTATCTGTTGTGCCATCCCTCCCCTGCACACTCTTCCTGGAGCGCTGCCGCTTCCCTTGTTTTGACCTCTCATGTTCATGCGCTATGGGGAAACCCAGAACATATGGCCACAAGTCAAAACTCTATTCATCATCATTTCTAGTGTGTTTTATTGTGCTTCTAATGAAGATTATAATGTTTGGTTCAGTCTGAGCATGAAACCAAGTCATTGTTTGTGACGCTCTAATTTTTTTTTGATTCCACTCATATTATAAAATAGTCAAACCAGCCTTCCATCCTTAATTCTCCTACTTTGTATCAGTGCCATTCTTCCATACAAACTCAGTAGCTCTCAGAGGCATGATGTACTGAGGCTGTGTATCCAAAAGCAGAACCTTATATGGATAAGCTGCTCAAAGAGTGCTGGGAATACAGTTCACACTCATCAGAGATGCAAGTAAAAGCAACGGGCTAAGCAAAGCATGAGCCTAGTGAGTTATTTAATTGGCATATTACTTCAAACAAAAACAAAAAAAGCCTAGGGTCAGTGCACTTGTTCATTTTAAATGCTTGAGTGAGGGATGCCAAATAACTCACTATTTATAGAAAGTGGCTGATCTTGTTGAGTCTCAAAGTTGCTGAGATGTCTGGGCTGCTGTCTTGTGAGCTAGAAAGAAAGTATCTGTCAATAATCTGGACGCTTGATAAAGGAGGTTGCAATTTATGGCAGATATCTCAAGACTCATTTGAGTACTTAGAAATTGTTAGTGTGTGTTGCTGTTTAGTTTTGTCCCTGAGTCAGCTTGTCACTCCTACAGGAATGAGCTTCCAGACAGATGTAGCTGTTGATCTGGTATGCAGCAGTAGCCATGACTGGCGCCTCTGAAGGTGGCAGGTTTAAAGCCCACCATATAATGTTCTGATAACCCTCGCATGACAGGTGAAGGTCTGGAAGCAAAGGGCGTGTTCGGGATTTTAAGTATAGAAAGTGCACTTTTACACTTGTCATTTCAAACCTGTATGGCTTACTTCTGTGGAGCACAAAATAAAATATTTTAAAGAAAGTTTTATGTTTTTGTTCATACAGTGTAAGTCAGCAGAGTCCAAAACAACACTGGACTCCATTGACTGCGATAAATCAAACTTCACACCAATAAAACCAAAACTTGATTTCAGATTGGCCGTCTGGTAATTGGACACAACGGGATCCTTTCCACCCCAGCGGTCTCCTGCATCATCAGGAAGATAAAAGCCATTGGTGGAATCATCCTCACTGCAAGCCACAGTCCAGGAGGCCCAGGAGGAGACTTTGGGATCAAATTTAATGTCGCTAATGGAGGTGAGAATATTACAAAGCATAGGACACACTGTATGCATGCACTTTCAGAATGATAAAGATGACATTCTGATTTCAGTATGTTTTATGTAATATCAGCCTTTAAAGGAATCACTGTGTTAACATTACCTTTGTGTAAGCTGTCATGAAAAAGTATTCACACCGTGAAACCCAAGTGTTGTACATCTTGAATCTCACAGTAAAAATATCTTCTATGGACATATATTTATATCTATTGAACTAAATTTACCTCAAATATATTGCTTACCTTAAATTTAATTTTGCTTTGAATTGCACCATTATTATAATTTTTATTTTTTATTGCGTATTAGTGACAAACACATACCAATGCAGTATAACATGTATGCTCACAAATACAGTAGAAATGGTAATATTGTGAAATATTATTGTAATTTAAAATAACAGTTTCTATGTTTAATATATTTTAAAATGTAATTTATTCCTGTAATGGCAAAACTGAATGTTCAGCAGCCATTACTCCAGTCTTCAGTGTCACATCAGCCTTCAGAAATCATTGTAAAAGTGAACATGTAAAAGTCTTTACTGTCACTTTTTTAAATGTATCGTGTACTTGCTAAATAAAAGTATTAATTAAAAAAATATGTATATACTGGTCTCAAATTTTTGAATGGTTTTTGAATGAATTTTTCAATTTTAGCATGATGTTTAATTGTCAGTGTCCATCTCTTTGTGAAATTGCACATATCCCAAATATGTGAATATGCATTGTGGTGCATTATATTTTCATTTTGGTGGATTATTGTGAAGTACTGTATATACCACACATAATGAATTAACGTAATTTGTTCCTCCAGAGTAATAATTTGGTTTATTTTGGATCCTGACAACACATATAGCTACAAATCTTTGAAAACTTATTTCTATTTTTGATTGACAGATGCAGTATTCTTAGATCCAACTTATTGTCATTGGGCGTTTTTTAATATTTGAGATGTTTTGTTGAAATCTGTCACTGTTTCCTGTTTACAGGACCATCCCCAGACACAGTGATGGAGAGGATCCATCAGGTGAGTCGCACACTAGAGGAATACGCCATCTGCCTTGACCTCCACATCGACCTGTCCTGCCTTGGCCGTCATGACTTTGACTTGGAGAACAAGTTTAAGCCCTTCAGAGGTGAGGTGTATTAACTTATTCTCATGTTATTGTCACAAACTTCAGCTCACACTCACGTGCTGAGCTTAAAAATGTTCTTTCTCTGTTTTCCAGTTGAGATTGTGGATTCAGTCGAGATCTATCTAAACATGCTGCGGGGAATTTTTGACTTTGGTGCCATCAAGAGCTTGCTGACAGGTCCAAAACAGCTGAAGATCCGAATAGATGCCATGAATGGAGGTCAACTCCTGTAAACAGTTGCAAATGCTTGTATGCAGATTTATATCTGTTTGTAGAGTCACATCTTTATGTCATCTGTTTCAGTTATGGGACCATATGTCAGAAGAATCTTATGTGATGAGCTCGGGGCTCCAGCTAATTCTGCTGTTAACTGTGTCCCTCTGGAGGACTTTGGAGGCCAACACCCCAACCCTAACCCTGCATTCGCTGCACCTCTGGTGGACTCCATGAAGGGGGGAGAGTTTGGCTTTGGGGCCGCTTTTGATGCAGATGGGGTGCTTGTCTCATTTACAAATAACTTACAAATTACACAAACACAGAGAAAAATGTAAAAACTTCATAAGAATAATATTCAGACAGAAAGCATAAGAATCAAGGCTGTTAAACCAAATTATTGCTGAATTATTTACAGCTTCTTTGTCAGAGTCTTGTTTTGATTCCAGTTCTTTATTATTATTTATCTTTTTTTTTACTCTGTTTTAATTTCTGTTTAGTTATCTCTATTTCTTAATACTGCAAATAAGTGAGAAACAGGAAACACATACTTTTACATTAACAGTCAAAAGTTTAGGGTAGGTAAGATTTTTTAAATGTTTTAGAAAGACATCTTTTGCTCATCAAGACTGCATTTATGACAAAAAGAAAGACAGCAGTGTTCTAAAATAATATTACAATTAAAAAAAAAATTTCTATTTTAATATATTTTAAAATGTAATTTATTCCTGTTTTGGGAAAGCTGAATTTTCAGCAGCCAGTCTTGATCCTTCAGAAATTATTCTAATATGCTGATTTGCTGCTCAAGAAACATTTATCATCACTTTTGAGAACAGTTGTATTTCTTAATATGTTTGTGGATTTTTAACTTCTTTGATGAATAGAAAATTCAAGAAAACAGCATTTAAAAAACTTGTTTTTTTTTTTGTAACAATATAAATGTTTACTGTAGCTTTTGGTCATTTAATGCATCCTTGCTCAATAAAATAATTTATTTCTTTCCAAACGATCCTAAACTTTTAAACAGTAGTGTTATAGTGAAAATGATATTCTTCATCATTTTCAAAAAGATGCAGCAGCTGGTTATTTTATGTAATAGATCAATTAACAAGTACCTTTGATCAAATATGATATCTTGCTTGTTTAATCAGATTAAATGACAGAACTAACTGTTGTATAATCTTGGATATGCTTGTCTTATGTATAGGATCGTTACATGATTATGGGTGAGAATGGATTCTTTGTGAGCCCGTCAGATTCACTGGCAGTGATGGCTGCAAACCTCTCCTGCATCCCTTACTTCAGTCAGAGAGGAATCAGAGGTTTTGCCCGCAGTATGCCAACCAGCACAGCCATTGACAGGTACAGTAAGTAACACTTGCTAATCTAACTGTAAAAAATAAACCTATTTTTATAATTTCATAGAAATGTAGGTGTTATATTTTTTTTTGATAGGATACCTGTAATATCTATACTTTTAAAGTACGAATAGGTTCCATTTAGGGATAAATAATGTACAAAGATGTACCTTTTAACTTTTGTTCCTTAGGGTACTGCTCCAGTGACGGCTTTGTACCTTTTTTTTCTTATAGTGTGTACCATGCTCTCAGATGATAGCGCTGAAATGCCATTATTCACAGACATGCTGCAGGCCTTGCTGAAATTTAACAAGTCATCACTAAAAGTTACTCAAACCGCTCTATCTGATAAAAACATGCTACTAACCTCCCGCAGAATGACCATATGTTGAGCACTAACTGTTAACTTTTAATTCGGTTTGTCTGTTCTGCACAATCATGAATATGAATTATGTACATGAATATTAATTACAGATTATTTGCTTTGCTTTTATTCAGCCCACTGCCAAGTACACTGTTGGTTCAACTTAAAATTTTTTCACATGGCGTGCAACAATTTCTTTTTTTGACTGTCACATTGAGAGTCAGGGACATTTTCCCTTAACATACTGTAAGAGTTCAGAGCTGTTTAAATAAAAGTCAGTCAGCTCTCAAAATTGATAAGCTGATGATCAGGGAGGAAATCATCCATCAGGATCTTTCCACTCTCTCACAATTAGTTTTCCGCTTCTCGTTCTGTCCGGTGCAAGACACTGAGCGGTAAAAGCATTAGTGATGGGGCCAGAGGTTACAGCATGGAGACTCACTCCCTAAGAATAACAGTGTTAGCTCAACCATGCGCTCCTGCAGACACCATTCACCCCACTAAAAATAACTTTCAGGGTGCATCATGCTAAAGACCTGCCTGCTTTGAGACAGGATCTTGTGCTATGAGAAATAAATAGTGATTTTGTTCAATCAGAAGACATTTGTTAAATGTAAAGTGTCATTTTTGGGGGTGTTAAATACTTTTTCCTATCCCATGCAATTTGGAGCCTATTTTGTGGTTATGTGTTGCTCAAAACATTGCATAGTCTGACACAGCAACAGCTCAACCAATGGTGTGAGTTGAGGGCGGGGCTGTCTGTTTTGCTGACCAATGGGGAACAGGGAGTGTTCAAAAAACCTGTCTGAATACAGTGATGTTTGAGATCAGCCTACAAAGTTCTGTCAGAGATTTGCCTATACACTTCAGCTTTCAAAATTAGTTTTAAAAAGATAACTTTGTAAATTCATTCACACTGTTATACACTTAAATGAGTCAGCCAAAAAAAAAACTGACAACCCTAAATTCTTCACTGGCCCACTTCTCCTCTGTGCACAAAAGTTTGCAGTCTTCCGAAATAATGTGATCCTGACTGATATGAAATGCCCTTATTAAGGGGATAGTTAAATAAAAAATCTGTTATCATTTACTCACCCACATGTTCCAAATCTTAATGACTTACTTTCTTCAGAACACAAAAGAAGATATTTTGAAGAATGTTGGTAAATAAATGTTTCAGTTACCATTGACTTCCATTGTATGGACAAATGAAACATTGAGACATTTCTCAAAACAGGTTATTTTGGTTAGTTTCACAGTGGAAAGAAAGCCATACAGGTTTGTAAGGCATTGTAGGGATAGTGGGTGCACTGTCCCTACAATGCTGGCATTCAAACAGGAAGTGATGTTATTTAGCGCTGCCCAATCAGTCATTAAAAAGAGCCAGAAAGTGCTTATTGGGTCATAACACCAGAATTAACCCTGATTTCCTCCCATCAATATTGTTTTTGTTCTGTGACTCATTATTCACTTCCTAGAGGCTTTGCGAGGTTGATTCAGTGTCAGAAACACAGTGTCAATGAGAATGTAAGTGTGGCTAAGATAAAGAAAGAGAAGTTGACTCTGTGTTTGGCCTGAAGTTATACCTTATGAAGTATAGCCATAGCTAAGCAGAGTGTCATGTTTTCCATTCTGTAAATGATAGTTAAGTAAGTATGGGTCTTCCCAGCCTAGAAACAGTTCTAGATTGTTCTCTTTCACATTCTCCCTTACACTGAAGTCACCCTTCAAATCTGAGCTGTTGCCTTCCAGGCTAAAGGTGTGGCCACACTAGACTTCTTGTTCCATTCGCTTCCATTTGCACACATGTGAATGTGGCAGCATGGAAATGGCAGGATTTGTTACTTTACTAAAGTTTAAAATTTGGTGAATTTTGACCTGTAAATTTGTGTAGCAAAAAAGACTTCTGACCAATAATGGAGTGGTCACAAACTGACGTTTTGACTCAATAAAAAGAAAATAAAGTTAAAGTTTCAAATTTATACATCTTTTAGTGTTTATTTATATATCTTTATATGAAATTTAATGGATGTTGCATCATGCAAAAGCAAAAGTTTTCAGTTTGGGATGCCATTGTAGAAATGTGATATATGATCATTAAGAATGAATTAAAAAATACAAACCAAACAATACTGTTTTGCCATGTATGCCATCACCATATTATTCTCCAGCAAAGGTGTTTATGAATTTATTGCTTTTTGAGAGTTTCTTATAACAGTATATAAATTATTATAAATATTAAATATAGAAATATTATCTGCACAGCTGTTTTTAAGGATACACTTTTTAATCGTTCACACCATAAATTGTAATTCCCTCACCACTAGAAAAGAGCGTCAAGTCAGAAGAGGAACTGATCCTGTTTAATTAGCTGTCGAAATCAACCGTAATGAACACATTCTTGTATTGTGAGTCTTTAAAAGTCAGATTTTATAGTTCTGGAACTGGTGATAGAGAATCCTTAAGTGTCTCTGTTCATGAATCTGTATCATTCTGTCCAACTAATTTGATCTGTTTTTCTGAGGCATGAATGTCTCTTGGGGTGTGAGTTGTTGGAGCGAGGCGTCTCTGCTGCTGTAAATCTTTTTAGGCGACGAGCGAGCTCTAGGCTGTGGCTGTGTGTTTATACTATGGACCTCTCAGGAGTGTGTGTTTGTTAAGTGCCAGTGGAGATAATCTACTAGAGCATGTGTGTGCTGTAGGTCTGGTGTGTGTTTGCTGAGCTGTGTTTGAGTGGAGTAGCTCTGTGTCTTTGTACTGTATTTGTGCGTATTAATGTGTTTAGGGATGTAAGGATGGAAAGGAAACATCTGCCGTGCTCCCTACACGTGGGAAGGGGAAGAGAGAGAATGTGCACTATCAATGTGACCATGCACTGAGAATGAACTGATGAAATATGGGGAAATTATACACAGGACAATCCAGTCTAACTGTAAATGCAGTCCTAGTGTGTTTGCTGTAACCGTATTTTAAACTTATCTAATTTAATGATTGTTTTCCTAGAAATGGCATGTATCTTTATATTACATTCTGGGACTTTTTGTGCATTAGTGGTGAGATTTTTAAGTAACTCTTTCTGCAGGTTAAATTGTTTCACCCAGTAGGTTATGAGTTATTAATTGAGTCATTCACTGAAATGATTCGTTCAACAACTCTTATTCATTTTGCACTGTAATTAGTGACTGTTTTTAAGTGAGTCAGTTTGTTCAAAAACACTGATTCATTCTGGAACGAAATAAGCGACTGTTTTTATGAGTGAGTCATTGAATCATTCACTGAACTGATTCATTTAACAACACTGTTTTCTTCAGAAAAAAATAAGTGACTGTCTTTATAAGTCATTGAATCATTCACTGAACCGATTTGTTCAACAACACTGATTCATTCAGGAATGAAGTAAGCGACTGTTTTTATGAGTATAAGTCATTGAATCATTTACCGAACTGATTCATTTAACAACACTGATTTATTTGAGAAATGAATAGGAATGTAATGATGCACCCCGAGCCAGTTGAAAATCAATACAAATATGTGACGATTCAAATCGGTTGAGATGTTAAATGAATCGCGATAGGTAGGAGTTTATATGAATGTATCTCTAAGGGGAACAGACTGTCTTTAGAAAAGTTTAGATGGTATTTTCTTTTTATCTCATCTCTGTATAATGCATATTAAAGTGGTGTTTACACGTAGCACTGCTTTGTGTACAGCGGTAACGAAGTAAACGTTATATTGCATGTTCCATAAGCGCCACCTGCTTTCAGAGAGTGAATCCGCATCTTATTCAGCCTGTCTGCTGTTCTGCTGTCACACAACAAAAGTCAGACCTTTCAGGTTTTGCTTCAAATTTCAAAACTATACAATCCAATTTAGATTAAAAACTGCTTATGCTGCATGTATACAGCATCTTTGTTTGGATTGTGATTAAATTGCAGTGGTTGCCTCTAATTTTAAATGGAAAGAGCACAGACAAAGCCTTAGTTTGTTTATATGAAGAGATTTCTTTCATTTGTGTTTTTGTTTTAAATTTAGTTTTGTTATTTGGCATATTTCAATTTCACTCAGAAATGAGAAATAATGTCAGAAATAATAAAAGGACACCTTTTCATTTCTAATTTGTCTTAAATCTGTAAAAAAAAAAAATGGTGAGAAAATCGTATTGTGAAATCAGTATCATGAATTGAATCGCATTGTGAGTTGAGTGAATCATTACATCCCTAGGAATGAAACAAGTTACTGTCTTTATACGTAAAGGCCCGTTTACACCAAGGACGGTAACTATAAAGATAACGATAAAGATATAGTTTTAAAAAATCGTTCTCAGTATTAAAGAATAGCAGAGTCCACACCACAGCTATAACGATAAAGGCACAGAGAAAAAATATCGTTGGAATCACTTTCAAAACGATTTTTTTTCTAGCTGATGAATGGTACAAACATTGACATCCAATCAGAATCCATCCTGCTATAACGAGCTCGAGAATTTAAAGTGGCAGACGAGCATACGCTTAGAATAAACACGATATTGTCCGCCAGTGTGGATGCTAATATCATTATCTTTATAGTTATCTTTATAGTTATCGTATTTGGTGTGAACGGGGCTTTAGTCAATGAATCATTCACTGAACCCTTTCACTCAACAACACTTATTCATTCAGGAATGAACCATCAGTTAAATTAGTAAGCCATATTTTGCCGATTTATGAATGAAAACATGACAACAACACTTTTGCTAAGGTGATATTGCATAAATACCCAAAAAAAGAGAAAAGTAGCTTGTTTCAGCTGGGTTTTTTTTTTTTTTTTTGGCTCAACCAATTTTTGCAATTCCATTTGGTGATGCTAGTGATGAAAGTTTCACAATTTATATTAAATAATATGAATCTTTGAACTGAAAAAAATGCATAAAAAGCTGATTATTTGTTTGTAATTTTAAGGTGTCTTTCAGTATATGTTGTCGAACTCTTAATTTTGGTCCTCGTCTGCCACTTACTAGATTAGACTTTATAAGGTAGCCAAGTCCTTAAACTATTTGTTTATATTGTAATGAATCAATTTCAAGCACTGATGGTATTCAAAGGTTCACTTTCAAAATTGTATTCAATTGGGGTACCAGCTTAATGAGACTGTCAGCTCATGCTAACATTCTGCCAGTTGATAATTGGGTTTATTACCAGATTGAGGTTAGAAACAGCTGCCGACTTTAAAACCCTGCTGAACACATTATTTTCCAAATGCTTTGGAAAGTCTTTTCTAGATAGAATTGTTTGTTAAAATCCAGTCACACCCACTTGAACACATATGCATGCAAAATAGATGCTGGATTAGAGATAGTGCTGCTTGTGTTGGCCACAAATATGAGAATAAATCATTGAAAACAAGTCAAGGGGTCAAAGATTCCAGTTTGTTGTCCGTATGCCAGGCTTTCCATTCTGCTCCTTGTCCCTTGAGTCAATAACACTTGTTTTCCCATATTTAGTAATTCCACCCATGAGTAAACAGCTGCATCTTTACTCTTCTCATTTACATTAGTTCCCTCTCATCTATCCCTATATCTGATGGGATCTCAGCAACTCATTACCCATAATGCCAGACTGCAGTGTCTGAAAATAGTTATGAATCTAGCCAACAATCCAAGATCAACAAACAGAGGAGGAGACTTGTAATTGCGTTCCTCCTCTTGTTTTCTCGATCTCTTTCATTTTGACACTGAATATCTTTCATTTTCATAGCCATGAATGATTACAATTCCCGAATACAAAACTTGCTGTCTTAACAGTAATGTTGTATGACAGTATTTGTCCAGAAGTAGGCCTGTTTCTGTGACAGCTCGCAGGAGTTTGACAGAATAAGGAAGTTAAACAGGTATAGACTACACACCGATGATTAAAGTGCTGTGTGCTCCTCCAGGCACATGGCTGAATCTCAAAATAAATGTCAGCCAAAATGTCAGCATGGTTTCTTTCTGCTTTTTGCCTTATAAAGACACTGGATTGAGAAGACAAAATATGCAGTTTAATTTATGAATCCGTCAAAAGGACAGATACTAAATGTACTACAAAATGAGTGTGTAGAAAGCTGAATGGTAATTTCTTTGCCTGGAGTACATTAAATGATCATTACCTCAACATCTTTCTTCTTTCACAGTATGTCCTTTGTCGCTGTTTACCATATAGTCTTGTATTTAGATATAAACATGGATTAGTAATTTTTAGAAACTAACAGCACACCCATCTGCCTGTGGTCTGTTTATAATTTCTCATTTTCCTTCAGTCCTTTTCTGACTTACAGATGAAAGATGAAAAGGGGTCTGAAAATGGATTTGTGTTCACAAAACTTCTAGACAACATGCATCTTCATCTTATTATGCAAAGACATTCCCTAGACTTCTTTAGCTGACATAGTCCAGAGCTCAAGTCCTGCTAACACTCATAAACACACTGAAAACACTTGGCAGCATGACATTGTGCTGAAGGAAAAATCAATTTTTATTGTTGCACTATATTATATTATATTTATATATTATATAAATTGCTACTGAAGGTACCAATAGAACATTTATTCTTTTAACCTGCAGTTTTACATTGCAGTGCCATGCAGCTGTTTACACTATTTTACACATACTCAAAGGGGTAATGCTGTTAGCCAATGAGATGATGTCTTTCTTTTTAGATTTGATCTTGTCTAAATAAACTCTGAGTAGGATTGCACTGGGAATACTCATGCTTCCTGTTTGTTTACAGGGTTGCTAAGGCTATGAAGGTGGCCCTTTATGAAACTCCAACAGGCTGGAGATTCTTTGGCAACCTGATGGATTCTGGGAGGTGTTCTTTCTGTGGAGAGGAGAGCTTTGGAACAGGTGGGTGCCATCAGAGTCCTCTAAAAGCCTTACTTGAGCGTTTAAAGTAGTCATCATGAATCTTCTGTCAAAATGTATTTAATTTACAGTATTGTCCATATATTGTGCCAAACGTACTCGGTTACTAACGTAACCTCGGTTCCCTGAGATACGGGAACGAGTACTGTGTCATGCCGTGCTAATGTAGTGGAACGACTAAAGGTATAAAACTTCCATAAGCAACCAATGCTCATAGAGAAGTTAACAATAACCCAAGGCTAAGACGGGCTGAGTTTCCAAGGTCACAATTGAATTTGGTGAATTTGCGCGAGGATCTGTTTCAGTGTAATCATCCTGAACGACCTCTTCATGAGGGTGCGATTCAGGTGTCTGAGATCGAGGATGGGTCGGAGGCCACCATCTCTTTTGGGGACATGGAAGTAACGGCTGTAAAAGCCTGACTCGCTCTGGGCAGGAGGAACCATTTCCACAGCTCCTTTTGCCAGCAAATTCATCACCTCTGACCGCAGCACCTGAGCGTCCTTGCTCTGCACTGAGGTGGGGACCACGCCGCTGAAGCGCAGGGGTCTTCAAGCGAATTGGAGTGAATATCCTCGCTTTATTATCCCCATAACCCATATCGACACTCCGGGGATGGCTTGCCAGGCCTCGGCCCGCGTGGCGAGGGGTTGAATTAACTCGGGTGACTGGCCGCACGGGGGCAGAACACTTATGAGTAATGGAAGAGGAAGTTTGCTCTCTTTTTAAAAATGTTTGTGGTTTATTTTTTCCTCTATCACAGCGGTTGAATGCTTGGGCGCATGAACGGACCCGTTGTTCGCACAAAACACTCGAGAGCATCCCCGCGTCTGCTGCGCTTTAGCGGGCTGAACGGCAAGGGCGGCAGGTGCTGGTTTCGTGGGCTGCTGAGTCGGCGCAAACTTAGGGCGAGCGGAGGCAGCAGCGGAGCTGGAGCACTTAGGCAGGAAATGTCGCATAGCCTGGGACGATTTCTGTGCCTCCGTGAAGCGCTCAGCGAATCCTTCGACCGCCGGGCCGAAAAGGCCTTTGGGAGAGACTGGAGCATCGAGGAAGGAGATCTTATCTGCGTCCTTAATCTCTGTCAGCGTCAGCCACAAATGGCGCTCGAGCACCACAAGGCTAGCCATCGCCTGGGCGGTGGTCTTGGTGGCACGCAGAGCCAGGTCGGTTGCGCTCCTCAGATCCCAGAGGGTAGTGGGGTCCAGGCCAGACTCATCGGAGGATGCGAGGATTTTGGCCTGGAAGACCTGGAGGACTGCCATTGAATGAAGCACCGAAGCCACCTGTCCAGCTGAGGTGTAGGCGCGTCCAGCGAGAGCTGAAGTGGTCCTACACGGCTTGGATGGGTGCGCGGCCTTT